AATAATTAAGATTAAGATTTGTTGTTGTTGTTGTAAGCGCTGCCGCGTTCTTGTCTGCATTTTGTATATTTGTAGTTGAATTGTAGTAATCGTAGTTGGATGTGTTTGTGTGTGTATGCTACATGCACTGGCACCAAGAGTGCCACACTGTGTGAGTGTGTGTCTATGAGTGTGGGTGGCGGAGTGATTTGTGAGAGCGAGATAAACAGTCTCTATAGATGCGCTGAGTTTGTGTCCTTGTCCATGTCTCTCACTCGTACTCCAAGACATTCTTATGATAGAATAATAAATAACTAAAAAAAGGGAGTATATTAGTATTATAATTTATATAACCATTGCCAACTCACCCCTCGCTGTCGAGCACCTGCTTGAGCGATGCCATTGTTATCACATGATCATCGCACTTGACCCACGTGTCCTTCTGATGTCGCACATAGGCCGTATAGTGCCCGGTATCGATGGTGCCCACGTGATTGACAACGGCATACAGGGAGAACCGAAAGTCCCCATAGGCATTGTTCTTCTCGGACATAAAGGGCGTCATATCGAACTCAACGGGAAACTGAATAAACGATGAGATTTTGCGATCGATCAGTGCCGAATGCTCGAAGCGCTTCAGGTGGAACGACACGACGCTGGGCAGAGTGCGCAGGCTRAACTGTTTGGTGGAYTCCTGATACGATTTGCAGGTGGAGCATTTGATTTTGGCCGCCGAGCCGAGATGCTCGGCCCGTGTATAGCGCTCCAGRCAATCGATCAGMGTTTTCGGTGTGACGCCGCCATGCGATGTCGTCTCGCCGAGATCCAGTGAGATGTCCCAGAAGGGATCGAATGTGGTGGAAACGCCCTTGCATGCCTGGCACACGACGTCGCTCTGCAGCATGCCSGTAAAGATTTGATCGATGATGCAATTGCACTGGCCATAGGAATGCGTGGCCGTTGCATTGGCACTGGAGCTGGAATTGCCACCCGTGGCGCTCGAACTGTTGCTCTTGCTCTCGTGCTCCGACTTGGCCTTCACACAATGCCTATGCAGCACATCCAGCGTGGCGATAAAGAACTCATGCGCATCCTGCTGCTCATAGCCGGCCAGATGTTTCGCATGATTCCAAATTAAATGCAGCAAACGATGCAGCGACAATGGAGTACGTGAGCCCGAATAGAACTCCTGCAGAAGCAAACCCGAAGTTCAATCATTGTATAAATTGGCTAAGGCGCATGCGCTTACCTGGAAGAGACGCGACACCTCGCATACCAAACACTTGTGTGAGGACTTGCCACAGTCGTGGCGATCCGACATGAAATAGTCGCTCAGCAGCGGCGTGTGTACCAGAGCCTAAGAAGAAGCGTTCAGATAAGATTAAAATTGTATACGAAAAGATTGAGTAAACATGATGAATTTTAAATACCCTTACAGTCACCGAAACTTTATAAAGACGAAAGTAAATAGTAATTTAATATCCCAGTTAT